TTCACTGCCCGTATTTCCCAGGCGCCGGACACATTCTCTTTCACGACCACTACTTCCAAGGAGTGGTCCTCAAAAGTATTCCTCTATTCACCTAAGTATGATCCCGATTTAGTCACCAATTCATGGTTCCTTATGCTGAGACAAGTGCTGAAGGCACTAAGTGGGTCTCAGATTTCTCTGATTCTAGAGATACGCAGCGGCCCTCAGGACGTGCCTTGTAGTGCTGTTATCAGTGATGAGCCGCCTGTGGTGTTGCAGGACTTGAATTTTTATACTTGTGAATGTCGTACAGCGTCTTGGTACACGGGGTTTACGAATGGCTTGTTTCGTGTTTGTCGACCGAGTCACGTATGGGGTTGTACGCTGAACGAGTCGAACGGGAAATGCAGGCTCTCGAAGTTTCAGTTAAACATCTTGCTTGCAAACAAGAAAGTCAGGACCGAGCCCTACTTTTGGAGGCACGATTTGGAGCAAGTGCTTGTGGAAAGTCTCGACGGGAAACAATGGCAGCTCATGAAGTGGAAGAAGCTGGGGGAGTTGCGAAAAGGAAAGAAAGGCGGGAATTTTCGCCTTAGATTGAAATGGAGATGTTAGAATGTTTCTAACAGACTCATAGCCAGTATGATGGGGAAATATGGCTTAAGTTGTTGCTTTTCTATTTACTATATATCTCTCATATTTTTAAACTTTTCGTCTGATGTCATATTAGACTGCAAAAAATAAGTATATACAGTGTAATAGTTACTGAAGGGAGAATAGATTTCTATGCTGCCTTTTTTCTTTCCTATTGCTTTTATCTTCTCTTGAAGATTTTCAACTTTTGTGTACTTATATGTGTGTGGGAATGAGTAATGCTATTTAGCCCACTTGGTTGACAACCTGAGTTACAACCCAAGTGTAAATACATTATCAAAAAATTAAAAAATAATACATTTACACTTATGTTGTAACCCATGTTGTCATCCAAGTGGGTTCTATAGCATTACTCGGGTGGGAATAGCAAAGTTATAAAAATACATCTCACCACCAAATAAATTATGAATTGGTTGATAGTGCGCAAAGGCCGATCTTTCACTTTATAATATATATACTAGTAAAACACCTATCACCGGTTGCCGCTATGACCGGTTGCTTCGTGTTTGCCGATTGCGGAAGGGGTGTTATCAAGCTTTAGTTTTTAGTTATCTTTGTTTTTTTTTTTTTTTT